TTTGATCCTTGGGCCTTTTTTAAACCTAGGAAGGTCTGACCCCTGATGGGCTGTGAAAAGGGAATTCGTTGAATTAAGCACTTCAGAGGGATGACTCAGCACTGGTGAAGTTGCATCTAGAAGCTGAGTGCGTGAAGCCAGTTTAGTCTCGGTGGTGAATGTGGCTGTGACTAGGCCAACTGCCCCTGGGCTGTGTGCACTGCTGCATCCAGCCTGAAAGTCACGGTATGAAAATAAAGGAGTAAAGACAACTTAGGAAGATACTATATTTTCATGACAAGTAAGCATTTGAATGGCATTTCCTGTATAATGGATCTTCCAGAAAGATCTCACATCAGCTTCCATAATATGCTCTTTGTATCTTTGATTACACCTAACACATCATGGTATCAATTTGTCTGTTTCCTTAAATAGAGTGTGAGCTACTTAGGAGAGGAAATCATATTCACTGTTTCATTAGTTTCACCAGTGTCTAGTACAGTGCCTGGTACATAGAAAGAACCTAGTATGTATTTTTTAGTTGAGATCAGATCTGGATATAAGAGGCAAAAAGATATTTGGGAATTGTATCAATCAGGATAGAGTAAGTTATGTTGAGGTTCCAACAACATTAAAAATCTCAGTGATTCAGTAATTATTCCTTAAATCTCAGTGATTCAGTAATTATTCAGTACTCTTTCTACCTGTCCATAGTGGAGGGCAAAGGTTTGGGTGGTGGTGGAGGATGCGAGGAGCCATATGAAGACCTAGGCCAACAGAAGCTCAACCATCTCATGGTACTCTGACCTTAAAGCTAGGGTTCCAGCCTTACTGCAGCAGGACAAGAACACTGGCAGTCAAGGGATTCTAGTTCCCTTGGACACTTTCTGTTTGTTCCCATTTCTTTGGCCAAGATTCATCCATGGCCACTCCCAGTTTAGTTGGGGCTAAAGTGTGATCAGCTATGCATTTAGAAGTGGAGAATGGAATGTTCATGAGCATTAGTTTGTTTTCCACTGGAATGCTTTGTTTTAGGCAGTAATAAGGAAATAGCTAAAAATACACAGGGAGAAATCACAACAAAAGTATAGGGTGCAACTCTTACTCCAGGAGCAAAGTTTACTTTCCATCTTAACAACCAAAAGAGCTTAGCATGTCTATGTATTTGAGCCTTTGAAATAATAGTCAATCTAGATTTCACTTTGTTAGGTTTTTTGGATAACAGCTCTTTCATTTTATGATGATTATAATTTTAAATGAATTCATCAGATCCTTCTCCACTCCCTAATTAACCTTCATGTGTTTTATAAATTTTTGCTTTTTACTTGTTTTTACCAGTTCAGGAATACCTCAGGAGCTCTAAGGGGTCACCTCAGAGTTGTTTATAAAAAGACTATGAACTCAGTAAAATATGTGTATTTTACTATTCTTTGGAAAATAAGCTATTTCCCTAAATGCATGGACTTAACCTTTTGATGCTGGGTCATTTACATGTGAATTCCATTGCTGTCTGGATTCAGTGATTGCATAATTAGAAAAAGCATTATAATATTAAAGTTATAACACAGAGACCTAAAATATCCTAAGTGACAGATGAACTTTAAATATGTACTTCCATGAATTTCTATATACCACTTCCAGTACAAGGTTTAGACTCCATGAATTTCTATATACCACTTCCAGTACAAGGTTTAGACTCTTTCTAATCTCAGAACAGAAATCATCAAACTTTCTGTAAAAGTCCTGATAACAAGTACTTTAGGTTTCATGGGTCATTCACTCTCTGTTGCAGCTATACAATTCTGACATTATAGAATGAACACATACATGGACAATACCTGAATGTGTGTTCCAGTAAAACTTCATTTAGCTGACTTTGTGAATTGTAGTTTGCTGAACTCTTCCTAAAAAATTCCTAGGCAAACATTTTACATTATATCCTCTCAGCAACTGCCTAAAGTGGGTGTTATTTTTTTATAGCTTTGTTGAGGTACAGTTGGCATAAAACAAATGTACAATTTGGTAAGTTTTGACATGTATACACACTAGTGAAACATCACTATAATCAAGATTGCAAACATTTCCATCACCTGAAAGTATTTCCTCCTGCCCCTTTTTAGTCCATCTCCCTGCCTTTTCCAAGGCCATCATTGATGTGCTTCCTCTTAGTGTATCACTATAGTTAACCTTTTAAAAATTTTGATATAAATATGCTCAGATGGTATTACCTATTTCCTCTGCAGTTTGGTTTCTTTCACTCAGCATAATTATTTTGAGATTCATACCATGTTGCTACCTGTATCCATAATTTGTTCCTTTCCATTCAGTTGTTGAGTTATATTCCTTTTTATAGATATACCATAGTTTATTCATTGCTATGTGGAAAGACATTTGGGTGGCTTCTAGCTTTTTAAAAATAAAGCAGCTGTGAGCACTCATGCACATGACTTTGTATAGAGATGTGCTTTCATTTTGTTTGGGCAAATACCTACAAGTAGAATGTGTTGGTTGTATGTTAGGTGTATGTTTAAATTTTAAAGAAACTATCAAATTGTTTCCCAAAGTAGTTGTACTATTTTAAATTCTTATCCTTACCAGCATGTATGAGAGCTTCAACTGTTCCACATCTTTACCAACACTTGATGTAGTCAGACTTTTTCATATTAGCCATTCTTGTGGGCATGAAGGGACAGCTCATAGTAGTTTAAATTTGCATTTCCTCGATGGTCAATGATGTCAAGCATCTTTTCCTCTGCTTGTTACCATATCCATTTTTTGTTAAGGTGTCTATTGCAATGTTTTGCTTACTTTATTAACTGGATTTTCTATCTCCTTACTTTGGAGTTTTGAGAATTCTTTATATATTCTGGGTACAAGTCCTTTATCAGACATAGGATTAGCATTTTTTTCTCCAGTTTGTACTTTTCCGTATCATTTGCTCAGTAGTGTCATTGGCAGTATTTTAAGTTGCTATACAGTATGGTTGTTAGGAAGCACACTCTCTGATGTCAACACTATCAGAGAGTTTTTAATCCTAACTGTGGAACCTAGGGAAATCAATTGATATTTCTAAGCCACAGGGTCTTCCTTGAAGATTCTTTGTAATATAGATTTTTGGTTTTCTTATATTTTACCATAAAGTTTATGAGTGCAAATTTGAGTATGACTTTGTGTAATTGTTGGAAAGAAATGTTTTTAGGGATTTATAGATGATTCAGTAAACAAACTTTCACTAAAGCTTAAGAGCTGTTTATATCATCTGGATTTCTATAACTAGTTTGGCTCCCTGTCTTCTTATATAAATTAAAGGGGTAGTCTGGAAAAATACTGTGTGATAACTATGTAATAGTCTTGTAATATAGACTACCTTAATGAAGCAAATTTCCCTTGCTGCTATAGTCATTTCATATTTAATATTAAAATTCATAAAAATGGAAATCATTGGCAGTGTTTGCTCTGTGGTTAAGCTTGGAGTCAACCACTTTAATGCATGTATGCAGTCTTTTTACAGAATGGTGATACCGACTTTGAACAGTTAGTATCTCCTCTATGAACACGCTGTGTATGATTACTAAGTATATGCTTATGGAAAGTAGCACAATGTTAACTTTTTATAAATGTCAGCATTATGATCAAATAAGCTTATAGTTGGCTGGTCAGATTTACATTACCAATAAAATGTGAACATGATAATAGGGTTTCATTTTACCATTTGTTAAAATAAAATTCAGACATCTGGACTATTGTCATACAGCTTCAGGTGGGCCCAAATGGGGAGCTGTCTCAAACCAAATGAACTTCAGGTTTATCCTTTTAAACTTGACTCTTATTGTATTCTTCTTTGACTATTCCACTAAACAACATCTAAAACTGTATGATGGCATAGTAGAATTTGAAGGAGATAGAATATTTGGTGGGTAGCTTTGCATTTGTTAGTACCAGTAAAATGTAGATAAAGTATGTTTTTCATCATGTGTTTTAACAGGAAAGTTTCCAGTCAGTATTTTTATCATTGGTCAGAGATAATAATCTTAGATTTGCATTGATTGCCACTCATGTTTCCTAAGTACTCTAGTCAGTAACTTGACAGACTGAAGACATAAGCCTTAAAAGTCAAGACAACTGTACGATAGTTCAGAATGGCTTGAATCCCATTTCTATAGGTGTGTAGAAGTCAGAAGACCTGGGTTCAAATCCTCTCTTCTTTAGTAACAGTGCAATCATCCTAGCCAAGCAGCTCTTTGCATGGATTTGCATCTTTCAGGTGGGATGTGGGTCCTTCCTATGTCAACAAATAGTCCAATATCTGAGAGTAAGAGAATGCTTTGCAAAGTCCTGTATGGCGTGTTAAGCAGATTTTTCCTAAAGTATTTAACATGTTAGGTAATTTTAAAAGTACAGTGATATTAAAGATCTCTGCAGTTGATCCCCTTTAATAACACAACCAGTTATCCTGCTTTCTGTTCTACAATAGAAGGTTTGCATGCCTCTGCTTTGGAGGGAGCACCTTTGCATGTTGAGTCAGAAGTGGGTAAAGACTAGAGATGGGAAGGAAAAGAAGAGTTAAGGACATGTGCTCCTTTATCTCATGTCCACTCCTAATCTTTTTGACTAGCATTTTACGCACTACACTTATCATCTTCCTGCAAACTTCATTTTCTTCTATTCTTGTCTCTTCCCCCACACCCAACCTGCTTTCTCCCCTCAGTCCCTCTTCTCTTAGGCCAAGTGGAGTTGGGGAGGGAGAAGACAGGCTCTGTAGCTTCAGGCACTGTCATCTTCTTGTTCACGGAGCATGCACTGTACACACAGAACATAAATCTAGCTCACTGTGTGCTCAGACCACATGATCAGCCTCTTCTGCCTTGTGGGTTGTGGTCTATGTGTCCTTCATTCCCTGGGTCATTTGCTGTGGAATGGGAGATCTGTTTATGCCACTATTCCTAGGGTCAGAGGGTTCATATATACGTAGAGCCTCTGTTTGACATGTGAGTTCTTCATCTCTTTACGTGTATCTCCAGGGCAGGAGCGGTTTGGCAACATGACGCGAGTGTACTACAGGGAGGCTGTTGGTGCGTTTGTCGTCTTTGACTTATCACGAGGCTCCACGTTCGAGGCTATCCTGAAATGGAAGACCGACCTGGACAGCAAAGTCCACCTTCCAAATGGCAGCCCCATTCCTGCTGTCCTCTTAGCTAACAAATGTGACCAGAAGAAGGACAGTGGCCAGAGTCCCTCCCAGATGGACCAGTTCTGCAGGGAACATGGCTTCAGTGGATGGTTTGAAACCTCCGCAAGGGTGAGATCTGCTTTGCATTTGTATCTGCCCTGCCGTGCTGTTAACTTGGAAATCTGAGCTGTAACTTTAAAATATTTAAATGAATTTATGCGAGTGTTTTGGAAGTCTAGGAAAAAGTGAGGCATACCATAAATATGTTACAGCTTCTTTTAGTTGTAGTTGGGATGCTTTCAAAATGGGCTAATGGGAAGTTAAATGGAAGGGCTGATTTTACATTTTTAAAAAATGAGTAATAGAGCAAAGAACAAATGACACTTTCTGTGAGTTTGAGTCTTTAGGTGAAGCACTGCTCCTGTGGCTGGAGTTTATGGAGGATGAGGTATATTGTAAAGCACAAGCATTTTCTATTTTTATAAAAGGCTTAACAGAATATATATAGGCATAGATGTGCCTGGTGAAGATATAGCTCACATGCAAAACTAACAAAGGCACTGAAAATACCAGAGAGAAGGTGTATTCTGATCATGTTGGAAGAGATTCAAGTCAACTGTGTATGCAAGAATTTGCACAAAAGAGGATATCAACATGTGTGACTTGCTTCTTCATGAATTGTAGAGTGAGAATGCTTTATCCATAATGGGAAGCCAAATAAGATGTTTTTGTAGAAAAACAAACACACTTAAGTTGGCTGTTGAAAATCTTAACAGTCTAGATACAGAAGAATGTAAGGGGAAAAATCACAAACACAAAATATTTGGGAAAGGCGGTTGTTTGCATTGGCAGTTTCACAATAGAGGTCATCTAACGATTAGAGTTATGTAAGAATGCAGAAATGCTCGATAAATTCTGTGATGACAAACTCGAAACTGTAAGTTTGGTACAAGCTTAACACAGTTCCAGCTTTTAGTATGCCTTCTGTAGAGATTTTATATATATGATTTTATATCCCTTTAAATATTTAAATGCATTTATGCGAGTGGTTTGGAAGTCTAGCTAGAGTTGAGGGAGTTGAGGAAAAAAAGCTTGTGTACCAAATAATGTGCCACTTTCAGGGTGGGTTTCTGATAAAACTTAAAGTAACCAGGGAGTAAGTTGGCAATTTGGAGAAATAAGGCAAAAAAAAAAAAAGACCAATAATTTAATTAAAGTTAATATTTGCTGAGGGAGTTGAGGAAAAAAAGCTTGTGTTGATGCTGGAAAAGGTACCTAAATAAATGGTACAGGCCTTGTAGATTTCTAACTGTCTGAGAAAGGTTATGATAAATAAGGGAGAAAACTAGAATGAATTTCATGGTATAAGATTGGAATTGGAGAGATCAGTATGAATTTAAGGTTGTACATATGTGTATATTTCTGTGTTCATGTGTGTGTATATGTGTGTGTGTGTGTAGACACACACACACATATACAGATATGTATAAACAGATAAACAGAAATAGATATTGATGAATTGATATGTTCATGATATATACACATATTTATTAGCTCTGTCCACTGAGAAGGCTTTGAAACAATGACACCACAGAACTAATGAGTTTATCTAGTTCCCAGAATTTGGTGTTTAATAGAAAGGTTATGATAAATAAGGGAGAAAACTAGAATGAATTTCATGGTATAAGATTGGAATTGGAGAGATCAGTATGAATTTAAGGTTGTACATATGTGTATATTTCTGTGTTCATGTGTGTGTATATGTGTGTGTGTGTGTAGACACACACACACATATACAGATATGTATAAACAGATAAACAGAAATAGATATTGATGAATTGATATGTTCATGATATATACACATATTTATTAGCTCTGTCCACTGAGAAGGCTTTGAAACAATGACACCACAGAACTAATGAGTTTATCTAGTTCCCAGAATTTGGTGTTTAAATACTATGTCCCATAAAAAGAACCAGGGTTCCCTAGAGAATGACTGATTCCAGGACTTGGTCAGACAGGGAAAGTGACGTTGTGCCTGGGATAATCTGTGGTGCCAAAAACTAAGGAAACACGAAGTGATTGAGACATGTCAAAAAAGACACAGGAGCCTTCTTATAGGAGTTCCAAAAATCCAAGACAGTTTGAGCAAAAGCAAAAAAACTATAGTGGATTTAATCCATAGATAAAATAATAATCCATAGTATGAATAAACAAATGAATAAACATAGGAGAAAAGAAAGCTTTTATTAAAAGAATTCCAGCAAATAAATGTAGAATGATGGAAGTAGAAAGTCACCATTAAACATCACAGTAATATTTGGCTTAGGGAAGAATTAGTTGGTGCCAAACTTAATGGGGAAAATTTTGGTGAAAAACAGGATATTTACATATTTTTACTTTCTAAGTACAAAGGGAAAATAGTAACTTCTCAGTGGAAAAGCCTGACAGACGTGACTTTATGAAAGTTTATCTCCTCATACACTTAGAAGGACACATCACTTTTGCCAATTCTGCCAAACAAGCACATTAGTACTGGTGGTGGCCAGTGTACTTATGGTTCTCCCTCTGATGGATTTTCCTAGTTCCTATTAATACTCTAATGCTTTTCTTCCAATTAATTCTGCTTACTCCTGATTTCTCCATTATAGGATAACATAAATATAGATGAAGCAGCCCGGTTCCTAGTGGAGAACATTCTTTCAAACCACCAAAGCATTCCTAATGAAGAAAACGATGCGGACAGAATTAAACTGGATAAGGAAATCTTGACAGCAGAGAATAAATCCCAGTGTTGCTGACATGGCCTCTCCTTTTCCGGCGCGCAGAAGGCAGCCTAACACTGTTGCTCCACTGGGAGCCAATTCCTGAGAGAGGATTAAGGTGGCATATGTGATCCTCTGACTATTCCCAGGACTGCACCTTAAAATGAAGACTCTAGCTGTTTTTGTTTCCAGATCGTATAAATCTTTCACCTTTAAAAAAATGGCAGTGTCAGCGTGCTGGGGGCCTGCGTAGCATGGGGCCTTCAGTGGGGTGACGCTGCTGGTGGCACCACGGCTCAATGTGGGACCACTTGGGCATTCGCTGTGGCTGCATTGCTGTCCAGGAGAGTGTTTACATCCTGTTTAAGCTTTTTAAATGACAGTTCCTCAGGATTTGATCAGATTTCCAAGTTGTAACTTTTAGTGCAAGCACTAGAGTCCCAATAAAACCTTATCTGCCGTCTTAATGGTAATTTTATGAGTCTCTGTATTCCATGCTCACTTGGGAGGGAGGCTCTTGGACTCTGTTAGCCATGAGACTGAAGTTCCCACTTAGCAATATTTTTTTCCTACTCAGAACTTCAGTACTTCATGTGAAATTGTTCTCCTTAAATATTACAATTTAATCAGTCCTAGTTAGCGTGGCTTGTGGCTATGCCACTTAAAAACAGTAAAATCCCCTTCCTAATGACTCAGGAAGCATGCACACACTGGTATTCTGGTTTGGGGTGCTACCAGTTGGAAACAATAGAAATGAGCATATCATTTTCTCTCTCCCTAGTTTCTTCTCTCTTCTTCCTGTGTGTTTTGTCTGCAGCTGAAGGCCTGACTGATAATTACTGCTGCAGTTCTGTCAGTGGGGTGAGTCTTTTCAAATCTATAATAGTAATGGTCAAGGAGAGAACTTATTTCAGAGTTTACACACTTTATTCTGAGATTCTGTAGAATGAATTGTGAAAGAAACTAGGTCATGTGGAGTTTTCCGTAGTTTGGGCCATTCCGTAGATGACAAACTTAAGGCAGGCTCACAGTATTTGTATTAGCATTTTAACCCATTTAAGGAAAAGAATAAATATTTTTCCTGAAATCTTTGTTTTGAATTAGTGCAGTTGTAGGAAGGTAATACGGGTACATTTTCTGCCTTAGAAAGCTTTTTATCTGTTCACTTTTGCCATCTATTTTTAAGGGACTTGATGTTGTGTGAAAGGTCCAACTTCTTTCAAAGGAATTTTAAAGGTGTTTATGACATAATCCAAAGCTAATACAAAATGAGGCATTGTCCTTATTGTTGTGCATATCATCATGAATTTGAAAGATCTCTTCATTTATTGAGAACAGAAAAAAAGACTGGCAGAGAATTGCATTTGTTCAGGTGTATTCCAGGAATAAACAGTTAGCCTGGGCTATGAAATGTAGCTTGCTCTTCTCATTAAACCTAAGCTTTGCCTGGAAATCACAAATGTGTTTATATGATATATATAAAAGTAAGTAAACTGTTTGCCTTTTGGACATGTATTTTAGATAGAATCATATTTTCTGATGTTAAGGAACAAAAAGAAGATACTGATCTAAATATACTTATCATTTAATAAGTATAACCTCTTAATTTTTTAAAAACACTGCATTAAATTTTGCTTTCTAAGAAACGTGTGTCATACTCTAAACTTTTTATAGTGTAGGTACAAAATACAACTTTTTGACCTTAAATTTTAAGTTCTGAAGTCCATTAGTGTAAGTAATGAAATGGTAAAACTAAATTTTAGAAATATAAACCTATTCTAAGTAAAATAAAAAGAATATATAAAAATCAATATAAGAAATAAGAAGTATAAAAATAAGTAGTCACTAAAAGAGATTGAAGTCTTCTTGGAATTTTCTTTTTTACATATACTGATCTTCATTTTTTAACAAATTCATCATATGTAATTTGATTTAGCAGTGGATTCAAAAATCAAGGGTACTGTATTTTCTTTGCCCATTTTTACCATATTTGTTATATTAGGATAATTTTAAGGTTTGACAGTACCTAAAATTGTTTTTCTGTAAACACTCAGGGTTCTATATGTCAGTATAAGATAGCTTACTGTATCATTTCAAAACACTTTAGAAATAAAACTGATTGATTGGTTTGATTTACTCCTAAATTCTCACTACAGTTTGCTTTGGTAACTTGAACATAAAATTTGAATTTAGGGTAAGCTACATTAGCAGGTAGAGAAAAGAAGAGAAAACTTTAATTTCCTTATTCTCTTAATTGCTTAATGAAAATTCTTGAGCTTCTCACTTCAGACTTACTTTAAAAAAATCCAGTGATAGTAATACAACATGGAGAATATAGTAAAGCATAGAGAATGATTCTGTAACATCTTCCTGTGTTGGCAGATAGTAGCTGTACTAGTGGGAGGAAGGATTTAATACTATGGGTAATTATTGAACTAATGTGTTACACACTTGAAACTAATACAAGATTGGATATCAACTATGCTTCAATTAAAAAAAAATCTGGTGATATTCATTTTGAAATGAACTCATCCCCAAAATGAAAATTAGTCTAGAAATTAGTAACTTAAATATAAAAACAAGAAATAATACTACAAAAACTTAAGCATGTATAGAAAAAGTTTGACATTGGGCTAAGAAAATCCTTTTTAAATCCTTAAATGCTTAAAGCCCTAGAGGAAAAAAATAGATATATTTGGTTATGTCTATATGTTTTGTACAGCATGGTGATATATGTAAAATTAAAACAGGCAACACATAAAATATTTACAACTCATTTGATTGGGTGAGGGTTAAAAAGCAGGATAATAAAAAAGACTGCAAGACAATGAGTAAAAAAGGGCAAAGAATATAAAACCAGCATTTTACAGAATAAGCAATTCATGTGTCAAATCTTAGAAACCAGGAAAACATAAAACACGAAGCAAGGTATTTTATCAGATTCACAAGAAATGTGTAAGTTTGATTATATCCCTGATGTTGGTACACGTACAGGAAATTCATAATCTGCTGTTAGAGTAGATTTGTTTTGATGGATGCCTCCAAGTCTCCCTCCAGGGTTGCTGCTCACTGTGCACTCCTAGTCCTCCTCTGGCTATTATTAATAGAAAAACTGCTATTCAATTATATTGAAATATAATTAGAAACAAAATTCCCTCTAAGCCCAGGAAACTGCTCCGCAAAGGTAGAAAACAAAGAAAAGTAGTGTTACTTTTGAATAAGCATGAAATCAGAATGTTGGCACTACAGGCAATCCACCAAGAGATTATAAAGTCCTTTTATATCACCAGCAGATACAGCCCATTCCGTGCATGCTCTCAAGATAAACAGTAACTGCTCCTCAGGTAAGAGGACTCGGCAGCACCATTTGTCTCACAGTTTACCCTCAACTCACTCGATAATTGGAGAGACCATCCATGTTAGTTAACTGGCTTTATCCAAAGGAAAAATAAACTCATGTCTTCATGGCAGGAGGTCTTTTTGCAAGTTGGTGTGAGGCTTCTCCCAAGTTGAGTGATATGATCCTCCCACAGAAGCTAGGAGAAAGGGGTACTACCTCTCTTGGTAATTGCAGAGAGATGACTCCTAAAGAGGTACCCAAGAAAGCTGGTAAAAGGCTTATTTAGCTTTAAAAACATTTGCATGCATATCAGAGAAAGAACACAACCATTTTCTAAAGTGAATACTCAGAAAAACGGGGGCAGAAACGGGGGCAGAAGACAGTCTCTTCCCTTATTTTCGATTGGGAGAATTAGGCCTTGTATTTTTAATTTGTATTTGCCCTTATTATCAATACTTGGTAAGCATTTGCTTGTATGTACAAAGGAGAATGTAGAGAAGAAGCCTATTTATTGCCTCAGTGCTTGGATATATATGCAAAAAAGTAAATTAATGATAATCATAATGCTCATCTGTAGGGAGAAAATAAAATGGACAAGTATATTCACATAAGGCTATACTGGCATCAGTATAGTAACATTTATATAAAAATATGTATTAAAAATTGAAAGGCTGTGTGAGCTATTCAGAAAGATAAATACCAAATTCCTGATGTACATTTGCATGGGTGAGTTGTTGTTGCTCACTCCGGCCAGTATTCAAGAATAGACTTAACAGGCTTTGTATGCATGTGAAATCATGTGAGCTACCCATTTCTTTTACAAAGGAGTTTGTTTTGAAAGATGAATATATACCATTCTTATTTCTGATTCTCCAAGTTGTGTGTGTATGGTAGGAGGAGGTAGGAATGGGGGTGACATGGGTTGGAGTTACACATAAAATACTGCTAGAATTTTGTGCATATTAGTGATTCAGTCTGTCTCAGAAAAGTCACCTGAATACCCATCTGATACTGTCCTGCTAATCCATTAGCACTTCCCAAATCAAATCCTTTATCTTTCAATCTTTCCACTGCCAAACCTGCTCTAGAGGCTTGAGTGCTCAGATATTACAATTTAAACAAGTTGCGTTTATATTCAATCTAAGTTAACAGGTAACTCTGTCTTTCAGTGGTGTGATTATTTTGCTGCCATTTCCTTCCCTTTATGAAAACTTTACTTTTGAGTCTTTAGTATATCTGTAGTCATGCCGTTAAGTTGTGATTTGAGAGCTAACAGAACTTTAAAGGAATACAGCAATTGCTTTAAGTCTTATAATAATGTGGGTTGAAACAGACTTTAGTTTCAGTTCAACATGCTACTTCACTGTCTGTGGTTTAAAGATGAAATTCTGTGGATTTCCTTTCTTTTATTGATTTCAAACTGAGATACTCTCCAAAAACCTTACTCTTCTGGAAATTTAGTCCTATAAGACACCATGTAATGCTTTCATGCTTGTTTGATTCACAATGATTTTAATAGCTGGGAGAATCTAATTTTTTATAGTATAACACGTTTAAAAATTGAATATTTAATGAATACATACTCTAGATTACTTTTGTGGTGCTACTTGAGCATATTTCTGTCCAACCCTCTTTAACATGATGATATTTTTTGTTTTAATCAAAGTATCATTGATATACCATCTTATGTTGGTTTCATATATACAGCAACAGTGGTTCAGCAGTTGCCCATATTATTAAATCTTCACCCCACTAGTGTGTTTACTATCTAACAACATAGTAAGATGTTACAGAATCATTGACTATATTCTCCATTTAACATGGTGGTAATTTAATAAGTTCAATGCATGTGCTAATGATGAGTAACATGTGTAATAGTTGACTCTATACAGAAAAGAATTATGGTTAAATTAGGAACTCATGATAGATTAGATATGTAAGCCCTTCTTCAGTTGAGCATAATGCCAAGCACATAATGTTCTGAAAAAAGAGTCACACTAACCAGAAATCAGCTTATCAAACATCTCAAGACATATCACAGTATAAGATGAAGACTGCTAAATCAATGTTAAGTTTAAAATACCATGTCCTTATATTTTTAATTTATATGCTAAAATCTTTCAGTGTTTCCTCACCATAATTTTTATTTAACTATAAAGGGAACAGGAAATAAATACTCTGTTGCAATCTTTTGAGGCATTTCACAATTCAGTGAAGAACCCCAAAGAAGAATGTACTCCACATAAATTTTAAGATAGCTCAGGATGAATCCAGTAAGCTGAACTGAGAGTATATGAAACCCACTTCTGTGCCCAATTCCATGAAATCATTGTTATTTATGACAATCCTGAGTTGTAAGTGTCTGAGTCTGAGGCGATAACTAATCCTTTACTCAGAGCGGTGATCGTGCGTGCCCATGAAGTACCACAGAAGTACCAGCGCCAAAATCCTGTACTTATAATTTAAGGGAGGCAACATTTTCTCCTCTCCTTTAATTTGCCAGATAGTACCTTAAATCAACAGATAAAGAAGGGGAGTTGATACTTTATTTTCTCCTTAAGGAGCTGGACAAACTTTCAAATGGCTACTTCTAATAGTGATATTTTTGAAACTACATATTGTGAAAGAGTTAGTTTGTTATTTTAACCTTTACTAAATGATGTAGGTACATTTTTGAAGCCAACTTGTTCTTTTCAAACCAATGGTGATTTTGAAAAAGAAAGTGAAACAAGTCTGTCAAATGGAATTTTCTATGAGATTCTCTACCCACTCAATCTGCCTATATTAGAGAAGAAATTTTAGCCAGCTCCCACTAGGTCCATAAGTGTAATTTTTCATTCAGAAGACAGTACCCAAATTTTAAATAAAATTTTGAATATGTCATGGCTGGTTAACTCCATTCCAACATTTGTTTTAGAAGTCCTGTTAAAATGTTGGAGTTCCTTATTTCTAAGGCAACATTAGTATATACCCTAAATATTGAAAAATTGATGTTACCTCAAAAAAAATTATACGTAAAGATGAAGTATTATACACCGAATTCAAAATCAATGTCCTATTTAATAAACATGAGCCCTTGCTTTTTAAAAGCATTTGGAGTGTAACAAGACCAC